GGCTCTTTAGGTGGTTCGGGTTCTTTTGGTTCAGGTTCTTTCGGTGGTTCTGGCTCTTTTGGTGGTTCAGGTTCTTTCGGTGGTTCAGGCTCTTTAGGTGGTTCGGGTTCTTTTGGTTCAGGTTCTTTCGGTGGTTCTGGCTCTTTTGGTGGTTCAGGTTCTTTTGGTTCTTTTGGTTCAGGCTCTTTTGGTTCGGGTTCTTTTGGTTCAGGTTCTTTCGGTGGTTCGGGCTCTTTTGGTGGCTCCGGCTCTTTTGGTGGTTCAGGTTCTTTACCGTCTGCAGGTTGTTTACCGTCTTCTTGTCTTTTTTGAAGAATGCTGATTGAATTGTTCAGTTCAGGAGTTGGATAGGCATAACTAACGGCAATAAATACCGCAATGAGAACTACGATAATTAAATAAAGGCGCTTATATTTAATTTTGACATAAGTCATCTTGAGTATAATTGAAATTAAGAAGTTATTCTTATTTTCGAAACTACCTCGATATTTTTTTGAATCATTTTATACCTTGTAGATTACCAAATTTGTCGTTACCCTCATCGCTTCCCTCATCGCTTCTTCGTAATACCAAAGTATTCAAGACGTGCGAAAATCAATCTTCAACAAACGAAAGATATTTAATTTTTTTATTAATAAATTCACGCCATTTTATTTTTAATTTTATTGCATACTAACCAAAGAAAATAAGGCGTTAATAATGAATAAAGTATTATTTGATTATCGTTGATAATAATAAACCTTAAATTTAAAAGTTTAAAATCAAATAAAGAACCTAAAAAAAGATATATTGTTTAGAAAACGATATCGCCGAGAAACGTATCACAGAAAAGTCTATGGATTTCATATGAAACTTTTTAAGCTTATGAAAGGATCTAACGAATGTACCACGAAAATCTTTTTTATTTTGTCTTTATTTTTTTAATTCTTTTTTTAATGCTCTAAATGATTTTCTTTTTATATTAGTCAATTGCTGATCGTTTATTCTAAAATTGGAAACTGATTTGAAGTGGGCTGGTTTTCTATAAAAAAAAAAAAAATGATTCGATAATCGATTCGTGTAAGTTTCGGGAAGGTTTCTTTTCGGAAGTTTTCTTTATTTAAGAATTTTCTTTTTTTTTTATTTTTTTTTTAGGATAAGTCATTCAATCTAAATACGGGATCTTTTGGAGCAGAAAGTGGACAAAAAACGTTTAGACTACAAATTCCAATTTAGCGTCATGTAGCCAATCAATAATATTGCATTTGGTGCTTCAGTTGACGCAATTTTTTTAATAGTATAGGATGTTAACTTTTTAACTAAAAGATAAGATTTTAGAGATATAAATTTTTTTTTTTTTTATGTAAAATTCACAATTAATTAATTAAAAAATATATATATATACAGTCAACGCTCTTTATAACGAACTGACGGTTCCGTTAAAAAAAAAAAGTTCGTTATATAAATTACTATGCTTTTTATATGAACCGTTACACTTTTTATAACGTACTATTATTAAAATTTAAAAATCGTGAGTTCGTTATAACCAGCTTTGGCACGGTGGAATTATCACGTGATTTACGAGTTAGCGATTTTTTTCGCGCCTTTTTTTAAAATTTTTCAGAATGTAGGCTAAATTTTCTTTTTTACGAGCCATAATCGGGCATTTATTCAGAATCTGACGGTAGTTTTGGTATATTTTCATATATTGTACAATTGTATGTTGAATTAGCTTTTTGGTTATGATAAAGTTTGAAAATGGGAAAGAAATCGATACAATGTCTTACCTGTCATATACTAAATTATCATCATCAATTTTTGAAAATACCAAAAGGCTGCTTATGATGATTTCAGCACAGACATTCGATGAGCACCATTTAAAAATAAATATTGTGCACAATGTAATTATTATTTTGAAAATGTAGCATTTGAAAAATTAACATTTTCTTTAGATTTAACTACAAAACCTTGTTACTTTTGATCAATTTATGGAATTCTAGCTTATCATATGGTATTTCTGGCTAAGAATTACGATCAAGAAAATTTCTTACAATAAGTGCTTTTTTTTATAGAATATCGTGTTATGATAAAGGATTTCATAATTTATCAAGAATTCAATGGGATTACCTTTTATGGAAAGAATTTTTTTTCTCTGAAAGTATACGTTTTCAAAAGGACTCAATGTTGAACAAATATAAAATTGCAAATTTTAATCCAATTGGACAGAGTATAATAAAATATATTTAAATTATATATGATGACATTTATGAATTCTAGTAAATGAGAGCTAAGCTATTAAAAACAGGTTATATGACCTTTTCAACAAAAAATGAGATTTTTGATTCATATTATTATATGATAATGAACTTATTTGGTAAAATTTTATCATCGATTATCTTATTTAAGTCAGCAAAATTTTCATAAATTGTATAACATCAATTAAAAATCAAATTAGATTTTGGAAATGATTGACATTATTATTTTTTTTAGATTCTTCTAAAATTCAATATAAATCTATATAGAAAGATTGCTAGAAAATTAGGCTCTAGAAATTTTTAACAAATTTGATTTTTATTGTATTATAGTTTTTGATATTATTAGATCAAAATCAAAAATTTTTTTGAGCCTGATTTTTCTAGCAAACTTCTCATATCTATTTAATTAAAAGATTTATACTTTTTAGATAAAATCTTTTTATTAAAAAATACTTTATTTTTGTATTCTAATATGGTTATTAGCTGCATATTAATTAGCATAATATAATAACCACCTTTTTAAAATGTAACTGAAATATTTATTCATATTGCTTACCATTTCTGTAAATTTTTTTTAATATTATTAGTATAATAAATTTTGAATATAATATTTAATTTTAAATATTTTAGATAAAATTTTAAAAGTAAAAATATTCATAATCTGTTTAAAATTATTTAAAACTATTCAAAATTATCCAATTATCTAACATTAATTTAGTATGTCTATTACTAAATTAATAAGTTTTATATTAAAATAAGATTCTAATTAAAAGTTTTTATAACTATTTTAGTAGAATGTAAGTGATCCTTAACTGGTCTTTACAATTTAAGAGATTACTATCTCTAGAAGTCTAATTACTTATCAATAATAAGTAATTTCTATCAAAATAATATAATTTATATTTTATAATTAATTTATAAAAAGTAAAATTGATATTTAAATTTAACAATTTGATAAGACTGCTAAGTGTAAAACTGGTCTTAGAAATATAGTCTTAAATTTTAAAATTTTAAATTTTAAGAAATTCTGGGATTTCAAGAGGATTTATTATTTATTTTCATTAAATAGCTTATAAAACACTATAATTGATAAATTAAATAAAAAATTTGTGAAAATAATTCTTTTGTAATTTTTTAGAACTTTTAGAACTACCTAAACTGCTTAACATCACTACACTAGTCAAAAGACGTCAAATAAGAGGCAAATAGGGTAGAATTTAACAACCCATATTATACCCTATTAGCCTATTACCTTTTTATTTTTTTTTAATCAGGAGATTCTGATTGATGATAAAAATTAGCTCCAAAAGGAGGATAATAGGGTATCAATCAGTGAATCCAAATGATATTAATCGGGTATATAATTTGATATCAATCAGATATATAAATAATTTAAAACTAATTAGATATTAATATCCCGATTGTTAATATTTAACTTGATTTTTATGTCAGAAATAGTATAAATTGGTATACTGATTGATTTATTAAAAATTCAGTCTCTTGTTATTAGACTATTATTGTTCTTCACTTTGCTGCCTTTACCAATATTAATAATTGTGATTATTTCAATTACTACTACTACTATTATCAATACTACTACTATTATCATATTCACTACTATCTCCATCACCCCTATTATTATAATCGCTTCTATTATCTAAACTTTCCTCTTCATTATTATTTTTACCCTCCCTACCCTCTTTCTCATCATTTTCTTGTTCATTGTTATCTTGCATCCTATTAATACTTTTTTCAACTAATAACTTTAAGGATCTATTATAGCTAGCTCTACTTCAACCAGGAGCATTTACAGGAGCTTTTTCTTCAGTAGAAGTAAATTATATATTGTCATATGCTCATTTTCTTATTTGGTTAGAGAATATTGTATTTTAAAACTTATCCACATAATTTCGTAAAAATTTTCATAACTAAAAAGTAAGAATTCAAATTAAGTGAATGGAATTGAAATAAAATAATACAATTAAAACTTATTGTTACAGAGTGCCACTTGAAGTCTTTAATGGTGACCTTTTATTTATTAAGATACTTATTATCAGTTTCTAAAACTTCTGGGCTATGATAATGATTGTCATCCTAGATAGACAGAAGTTCATTTTTATGAAACTTTATCACTAATCAATCATCCAATTTTACTAACTTGTCGATTGCCTTCATTCAGCATTCTTGTTTCTAAAATAATTTAATTAATAAAAAATAATAAGAAATAAACAAATAATTTAATTTTTACTTACATTATTACGATGCGAATTAGTGTGTTTTCATCTACTTTTAGCATCATTTCAATTGAGACTTTATTGATTTTTATTAAGATTATATTTTCATTAATGACAGTGTCGTTCATATATAATACATTTTATGATACTATCAGTAACATAGAATTTATTCTTAATGGTCTTTTGAATGATCAGTATTACATATCTATTAACATTTTCTTTTTGGCTATCGAAAGTTTTATTTATATCAAACCTTTTATCATCTAGTAATTAGCTCATAATCCTGACTATTTCATACTACTCATAATATATATATATATATATATAATCAATTAATAAAACATTAAAGCGTTAAAATAACTGAAAGTAAAACAATTTATCCTCAACGCATCTCTTATGTCTTTATCAATATCTTCGTAGAAAAGATACGTGGGTTAACAAGGTGAAGGTAAAGGTAAAAAAAAGGAGAAGGAAGAAGAAAAAGAAGACTGATTGAAATCATTATGATCTTGATCAAAACTTCTTCGATTATTATCAGAACTACTCTTAGAGTGTCTTATATATGATCGTGATCATTTTATTAATATTTTCAGAGTATTTTTCAAAGTACTTGCTTTAGATCAGGAGTTTACTTTAGGTAAACAGATAGCTGCAACCTCAGAAGAAGTACTTGCTTTGAACCAGGTATTTAAGGTTTTTGATGCAGAAGTTCAACTCTTTTAAGAGCCAATAATTACTTCAGGCCAATCGATTATTAGATCCTTTGGGTCTGTTTTCTTCTGTTAGCCTTTTACAACAGTTTTCAATAGACTTCTAATCTTATTGACTTGTTCTTGCAAAGCTTCTTTTATAGTTTTAAAGAAATCATATAATTTAAGTATAATGACAGTAATTAATCAGTAAACAATCAAACAAAAGATAATAAATTTGATCAAAATGTATATGTAGAAGATCCTCTGTATGGGTTTTTTGTAGTAAAAGTAGTAAATATGTTAGATATAAATGTACCAATATGGCTTTTATCTTCTTTCAATCGCTTATTCTTATGTTTATTATTATCAGAACCAGAACCTTCAGAACTGTTAGAAGCTGATTGATGTGAACTAGTATTAACAGAAATAAAATAATAAATAAACTGATTAAAATTAATAAAGTTACTATTTCTTTCTGCTGTGTTGTTTACTCTTTTCTCTTTTAGAGGTAACGGTTTTATAGTATTTTTTGTTTGTATTTTTTTTTAGCTTTCACTTTCAGAGATCATATTTATACCGAAAGTTAACCTTTTTTAAAAAAAAAGTTAAAGAATTTTTCACCTTTATTAAAAAAACCATTTGGGAAAAAGTGATTTATTTAACAATCAGTCTTTTTATTAAATATATATTTTCCTATAAAGTTATTATTGTTTAATCATAAACTTCTGATAAGCTTTTACTTGTAATATATTATTGAATTCTAATGTAATTCAAATTGTTTTTTCTTATTTATTATAATAAACTTTTATATATAATGCATTGTTTAGTTTTAATATAATATTTCTTATTGATTAATTATAGATATATTAATTGAGTCTAGTAATTATTCTTTGTTGACTTCTTTTCACAAATGACAAAGTCAAAAAAAAGAGTTAACAAAAGTTCTAAAGATCCTAAAACTAGGAAACTGGTTGAATGTAAATGCATATTACACTGTAATGGTAGCAAATTGGTAGATCATAGAACATACAAGAAACATCAAAAAGAAATGAACCAGTACTAAACAATTATATCCAGGCCACCAAGAAAAAAGGGTAGAAAGAATGAACTGATTGAACAAAATTAAACTTCATCAGATTCATCTAATGGTGATTTATCGAACAGTTTTAATAGTTCATCTTCTTCTAATGCTTCTTCTTGTTAGATAATCTGAATATACCAAAAAAATGAAAACATTATAATAAGTATCATTATAATATGGAACCAGAGCCTGAGCCTGAAGAAAAGGGCAGAGATGTCGAAAATGTTGATTCGCCTATTAATAGTGATTTAGATGATAATGAAGACGATGTTCCACTTGAACAATTCACTGCTCTTAATATGAATGATCCTAAACCTGAATATTCTAATACAAACAGTAATTATAATAATTCGTGAATATTGTTATGGATATTTAAATATCAAAAAAGATTTCATCTTTCTGATGTTGCAATTGATTCACTTATCAAGTTTTTCAGGATGATTTTATTGGATGCTGATCAGTTACGATTTGATTATTTTTCTTCAAGTTCTTATATGGCAAAAAAGCTGTTGCATATTATTAAATATGAAAAGAAATATGCAGTATGTTCGAGTTGTAACACTTTATATAAAGTGTCAGATATTTTGTCAGAAGATGCGACCAGTCAGTCAATTAATGAGTTTAAATGTAATCATATAGAATTCCTGAACCATCCAAAACATAGCCAAAGAAAACCTTGCAAAACAGAATTAATGAAGCAGGTTCTGATAGTTAGAGATTACAAAAGGATACCAAAGATGATTTTTTTCATACTATTTTTGAAGTCCCAATTGATTACAATGTACTAATGATCAGGGTTTGAATCATATTTAAGAAAATAAACAAACCAGATGTAACTACAGAGTTATTATCAAATGGCGCAATTTGGAGATATTTGAAACTTCCAGATTTTTTATAATTGAAATCGCTGATTCACATTTAGAAATCATGATTAATCTTAATTAGTTTCAACCATTCGAATCATCAGCATACAGTAGTGGTGCAATATACAGAGTTATATGCAACCTTTCTCGAGAACTAAGATTTAAATAAGAGAATATACTGTATCTTAGGTTACTACCAGGATTAAAAGAAGTAAATTTGCATAGAATAAACCACTACCTATTACTGATCGTAGATGAATTATTAGAATTTTGGAGTGGTTTTCTTTTACCTTTAACCAATGAACATCCACAAGGCAAAAGAATTCAGCTAGCAGTTATATGCTATTCTAATGATATTCCAGCTGCTAGAAAATTATGTAGCCATATATTAGCTCTGGTTAGTTGCCATCAGTGTTACAAAAAGACAAATATCAATGGTAGAAAATCTAATTTTAGTGGATTTGATGATATATCTGTATAGTTTCAAGAACGCAATCTCGAAAAATATCAGCAAAATGCAGAGAACTAGTGGTATTGCAAATCAAAAGATGAAAGGAGGCAACATGTCTCTATTACACATGTATTAATTCGAATTATTAAGACTTTCTTATTTTAATCTGATAAGATATCTTATCATCGATCCAATGTATAATCTATTTCTTAAAATTGCTCACTGGATTGTTAAAAGGTTATGGATCAATGGTAAAAAATTGACTAAAGAAAATCTAAAATTAATAGAACAACATGTTAAGCGTATTCAAGTTCTAACAGATTTAAGGCAAATACCTAATAAAATAGCGACTAATGATAGATTTTTTGATTTACTGCAAATCAGTGAAAGTCATTTATATTAATTTATACTAAAGGTTCAGGTGAAACCTGATTATTATGCCTAATCTGAATCCAAAATCTAGGCAATATTAGTTACGCCTCAACAAAAAATTTCTGAAATGTCTGATTGAGTCTGATACTGCCCAAATCTGAAATTCAATCTGAATTATTTGAAATTTCTGAAACTTAATTATTCACGTGAAAATTAAATATATAACATTGTTGGTAAACAAATATTAATGCATTCACGTCTTACAAAATGGAGGCTAATTTAACTACTTCAACTGATGATACTTCATTACTTCCAGAGGGGGGTGTCGACTCAAATGGGTTTGGAATATAGCAACGGGAGAATAGCGGTAGTTTTTAAAATTTTGTTTCTTGTATGCTATATTTTGATTGTGTGTGTTTTTTTGAATTCAAATAATCTTATCGCAGTACTGCATTGTTAAATCTAAAAATAAAAAAAATTGATACTTCATTACCTAAATGAAAAGTTGGTAGGAAACCTAAATCAATAGTTTAAGAACATATTAGATGTATCGAATTAATAAATAATAATTTATATGCTAATTATATATTATGATTAAAATAGCGCATTAATTAGCCTAATTTATCAATATAGCAACTTCAATGTATTAATAAATAAATTTTGTAATTAGTTTATATTATATTAATTTATTGATTTTTAGCATTACAGGTTTAAATCAGCATATATTTTGATTGACTAACTAGTTTTGGAAGGTTTCGCTAGTATTGTCCAGTTTCGTCTTAGTTTTAGATTGTTGAAAAGTTTCAGATTTTTGTTCTTGAAAGCTGAAACGTTTTGACCTTAAGATTTTAGTTTCGCTCACAACTTTAACATATGTACTATAAAGCAATTGAACTTGATCTTACTTAGCAGTATACACTTTAGACATTATGACATCTCATTGATGGTTGAACAAATCTTCGCTTTAGTGCAAAAACCAATACGCTAAGTAATCTTATCATAGATCTAAAGCTTTACACTATAGTATTAGGCTGGTATACTACAAAAGGTAATTCTATTACAATATTAATCAATATGTCGAAAACATATGTGATAATAATAAATAAGATTTGCATTTATAAGTGATAATTAATAGTTGCATTTATGATGAAGCATCTTTATCTACTACTTTATTTTTGTAGATATAATATATCACGATGAGAACTTTATTGATATATTACTTAGCAATCGATGGAAGGTTAATAGAATTAGGAGTATAGGTCTATCAAAAAAATTATATGTCAATAATAATTCATTTTTTCGAGATCTTTACAAGACATATAGTGACTATTTAGATTATAAAGCTGCTATATTAAACAAAAATTTGGAATTCTATGGGATAATTGCTTACACAGTTATTAAAAGTAATCAAGATAATATTCAATTGAAAATTTACGTCAGTGATATTATGGAACTCAAAGAAGAATCAGAAGGCATCGCTTATATCAGAATTAAGGCAATTTTTTATCACAAAGCAAATAACAATCAGTATCACACATTTTTTTATTTAATTAGTTTAAGGCAACAAATACCATTAATCACATATTAGAATCTTAACTTTACAACATCCAGAAGCCTGAAGAGTTATGTTAGTATTAAATATTCCAATTAATGTTATTAATCATATACCTAATATTTATTTTATACATGATTGCAAAAGTACATGTAACTCTGAACATGATGAAACTATCGAAGTTACATTCTTAATGAATTTTATTACAAAGTAGTATAAGTGGATTAAATAAAGTTGGAAAATTACAAACACTTCAATTTGAACATTAATCATTGTTTTTATATAATATTAATTAATATATTTATCGGCTAGAAAGTGAGTCATATGCACAAAATTTATTAAAGAATGAAAAAGAAAAGAAGAATTTGGAAAAAAAAATTGGAAGAAAATCATGCGTTCAAATTTTATTGGATGAAATCTTTAAAATAGCAAATTAATTTTCGATTATTCTATTAATATATTAGTATATTTTTAATATATAACAAAGACATTATTAATTTATAGTCGTATTATATTTTAGAATATCCTTAATATATAACAAAAATGTTAAAATTACATTATTTTACAATATTTTTGATGTATTTTTAATATATAATTATCATATGATAAAATATTTGCTAAAGTCATATTTCTAACATATGCTTAACATATTGATAATATCAAATTTCATGAGAGTTAACAGAAATACACTGCCATATATTTAATATATTTTAAAAATATTTATAACATATTTTAAAAATTGATAAGTTTCTGCAAAGTATATACTTTGTTAAATAACTAGCATATAAAAAATATAAAAAAATTTCAAATTTGGTTATTTTTCAATTTTGAATTGCTTCAGTACATAAGTATAAAAATACATATTATAAGAAAAAACCACCGTAAGTGACACCAATTTGTAAGTTTCAGGAATACAATAAAAAATAAATGAATTCATATTTTTATTTTAATAATAGTTTATAGAATTTGTTTACAGAATAATTTAATTATTATATTTTTAACAAAAACTTTTACAAATATTTTTTTTTCATTGTTATTTTATTTTTATCCTTAACTAATTAAAAGGGAACTGACTGGTTTTAGAGTAAGTTGAGGCAAAATTTTTGAAAAATTTTCCTTGATCTAAGGTGAAAATTGATCTAAATGAGGTTCTTGTCATTCAAGCTCAAGCTTAATGTGGAATTTATTTAAGTAAGCTATCTAAAATTGGTTGTATTTCTAGTTCTTTAAATTCTAAACCTCAAATATCTTTTCTCCCACTAAATAACTGAATATAAAAATTGTTGTGAATTAATTAATTTTTAATTAAATTAATAACAGTATTTATCAATAAAATATTTTTTCAATATTATTAATAAATAAATGCTTGAACCAAAAAAAGTCAAATTAATTATTTAAGACTAAAGTAAATAATTTTTATTTAAAAAACCGAAATTGCTTAATTTTAGAATAATTGTTTGAGTATTGATCTTTTAAATATGGAGGGAAGATTCGTGTTAAGGAATTGGGTAAATTTGGTAAGCTTTTTATTTGAGTTTCACGGTAATTGAGTTCCGTTAAGGAGTCTGGTAATGTTGGTAAACTTGTTATTTGAGTATAAGAGCAATCAAGAAATGTTAAGAGGTTAGGCAATGTTGGTATGCTTGTTATTTGAGTTCCTTGGCAATACATTTCCATTAAGGAGTTAGGTAATGTTGGTAAGCTTGTTATTTGAGTTTTAGAGCAACCAAGTTCCGTTAAGGAGTTTGGTAATGTTGGTAAGCTTGTCATTGGAGTTTCATGGCAACTGAGTATCGTTAAGGAGTTAGGTAATGTTGGTAAGCTTGTTATTTGAGTTTTAGAGAAACTAAGTTCCGTTAAGGAATTTGGTAATGTTGGTAAGCTTGTTATTTGAGTTGCAGAGCAACTAAGTTTCGTTAAGGAGTTAGGTAATGTAGGTAAACTTGTTATTTGAGTTTCATGGCAATAGAGTTTCGTTAAGGTGTCAGGTAATGTTGGTAAGCTTGTTATTTGAGTATAAGAGCAACCAAGTTTCGTTAAGGAGTTTGGTAATGTTGGTATGCTTGTTATTTTAGTGTTATGACACCAGAGTATCTTTAAGGAGTTAGGCAATGTTGGTAAGCTTGTTATTTGAGAATTACTACAATAGAGACTTGTCAATTTTCGATATCTTTGCAATCCACCAAAGGTGTTCAATATATCATCCTTATTATCATCTGTTATGGTTATACTTTCAATAGTATCATCATAAATAATTAATTCAAGATTTCTGATTCTCTTTTCTAATACATTAATTATTTTTTGCTTTTCTTTGGACACTTCTTCTCGTTCTCTAATTTTTTCTTCTAAATTATTAATATTGGCTTTGGTTTCTTCTTCTCGTTCTCTAAGCTTTTCTTCTAAATTATTGATAATGGTTTTGGTTTCTTCTTCTCGCTCTCTAACCTTTTCTTCTAAATTATTGATATTGGCTTTGG